GAGACCAAGCTGGTCTACAAAGTGAGCTCAGGGCCAGCCTGAACTCAAGAGGGAGACCCTGTCTCAAAAAGACAAAGAAAAAAAAAAAAAAAAAAAAAAAAAAGATGGGAGAAAGGAAAATGTAACATGTAACAAAAATAGCATCCAAAAGGCTTTTTATTGGAGTTGAAGGTAACTATCTAATAAAACTGCTCTGGAACAGAGAATGGGCTCCAGAGTACAAACAAGGGTTTTCACTCTCACCAATAATGAAATGAAAATAGCACAGTCATTATTATATAACAGAATCAAAGTCCTGGATTAGAATTTCAAATGTACCACACACTATACTAAGTTTCAATAACTGGGAATCTGTTTTATCATCTTAAAAAGAGAATACCCACCCTTTTATATAATGGTTGAGGAGGTAAATGTGGTAATAAAAACAAACTGCCCAAGAAACATGAACTATTCTGTATTCCAGAGTTAGAGGATTTTATATAGAACTTTCAAAAAAAAAAAAATTGAGTAGCAAGTTACACCTAGAAGCTGTATAATGTCACGTAAAACATGGATTTTGCAGTAAAAACATCTAAGTTTGAATCACAAGCATTCAACCACTTACATATGCACAAGCTTGGGTGTAATAACATTAGCAATTTGTGCCTCAGGTTCATCTTTTATAAAATAGAAACGATTCCAGTGGCCTCTCACAGGTTTATGATAAAGATTAAGTGAAATATTAAAAATGCATAAAATAGTATATCCATTAATGTATGACAGCTCTTACTGTTCTGATAGTCTATTCAAACTAACACAACATAAATTTGACAAACTGGTCAGCTAAAGACAATTAGTTCATACCAAAATAGTGACTGTAATAAAATGTTTTTAAAAGTTTAGTGGAATTCGGATGAAATGAAGCCCCAGAAAACTTTTGGAAGGGCCCGGTACAGTGGTGCACGCCTGTAACCACAGCTACGCAGGAGGCAGAGAAAAGAAGCCCTCGAGTTCAAGGCTCGCTTGGGCAACGTGGAGAGACCTTGTCTCCAAAACAAAACAACTTTTAGAAGAGTTTAGACAAGGTGAAATTCTTACAGTCACAGAAAGTCATACCCAAAACTAGCATTTCTATATAGAACTCACTGGAGCACTAGCTAAACACCGTGAAGTAAGCTGGTCTTCAACAGCTATTCTAAGTGTTGTGAATATGAAAACCATGGGCTGGGGCACGGCTCAGTAGTGGGAGAGTGCCCGCCTAGCATCTGTGAGGCCCTGAGTTTGATCGCTAACACTGAAAAGAAAAAAAAGCAACACAAATCTTATGAGCATCTAGCATTAAAAGGGAACTTGATCCCTCCCCAATTCACTGCAAAGTGCTAGATATCTCTAAATGGTTTTATGACTCCACAAGGACAAAGACTTCTTTCTTCCAATTCTTGTTAATCATGGCAGAATACCTTTGTCAAGGTATGGAGACGTTTTTACACAGGGCCAGCTATCCTATAAAGGTAAGAAGTAGGGAAAGTGTTTGACTTGCTCCTTCTGAAGTATGCCATCTAGGGGTATCAGATTTAGTACGGAGTACACTGGTAGTCTCTGGCTTTTTTCTCGTTCCACGCCCTGATTTCCCACCGGGCCGGATGGTGGTGGGACAGGAGACCTGGGGGATACTTCCCATCTGTTGTTTTCTGAGTCAGTCTTGCACCAGTACATCACATGCCCCGTGACCTGTAATTCTATCCACCTAACAGCCTCTCTTTAACTTCCTTAAATGGACTCCTGAGGGGATGAAGGCATTGCTCAGTTACATCGAGCATGACAGGAACAGCGACTGCTCACACGGCACCCGTGGTTCTCAGCAACCCTCTGCATAGCTACTACTGTTTTCTCCACTGTAAAGGTAATGAGGGAGGCGTAGAGAAGTTGCTGAACATCATCCAACTCGTCGGGGTACAAGAAAAACGAGAACCTAGACACCAGGGCTCCAAGCTCACTTCCTTGCACATACGACAAATGCACAATGTAAGCTAGGAGAGCTCTCACAAGGAAGTGACGATGCCGAACTCCAGCTGTGAACACAGTGATTAATCCCTAACCAATTCACTCTTAGAAACCCAACCTGAGTCAGCTCTTCTCAACTTTTTTCTTAAGTTTCCCAGGCAGAATTCATCACAATGACAGATGTACAGGTTAATAACGTCTCAAAATTAGATTAGCAAAAGGCTCTGAGTACACTCAACACTATTCATTTGCTACCAGAACTCCACTTTAAATCTTTCTATGCCTTGCATCAACCTCCTGCTTTAAACTTTTTGTTCTTTTCTTTGTGGTGCAGGGGATCGACCCATGGCCTTTTGCACATTAGGCAAGCACTGTACCATGGAGCCCCTCCACTCCCAGGCCTCCCTGATCTAAACAGCTGTCAGTGCCCACACTGTAACTACCCCCACTACTCACAAGTAAAAAGCTTACTTAAATAAAAATATCAGACAAGGTACTATTCGTAAACCAGTTCATTTCTGTCTGTGGACAAGTATTTAAGCCATATTAAGCATGTCTGAGGGGCTGGGGATTTAGCTCAGCGGCACAGCGCCTGCCTGGCAAGCACAAGGTCATGAGTTCGATTCCTGGTACCAGAAAAAAAACAAACAAAAAAAAGCATGTCTGGATGAGTTCTCCTGGCTCTCCTGCATGATTTATTAAGTCAGAAAACAAAGGTATGTAGTGGTAATATGCTACGCTTATACACATTTAAACAAATTCAACATGTATAATTCAAACTGCGTTATTACTTTTAAGATGCTTTGGTGTGTGTGTGTGTGTGTGTGTGTGTGTGTGTCTTTTTGAGACAGGATCTTGCTATGCAGTTCAAGCTGGGCTTGAACTTGTGGCAATCCTCCTGCCTGAGCCTGTTGAGTGCTGGGATTACAGGCAAGCACCACCTCGCGCGGCAAGATGAATTTCAAAGAAAAAACAATTTAGTTTCTAGCTACTAGAGAAATGCAAGACTAAAACTTGGGACATCTGGTTTCTGGGTCTTGCGGTTAAGGAGCCATTAACTGTTAACTAGCTCAGAAATTAATTGCTAAATCCGAGTTCAATTTTCTCATAAGGAGAATCACTAGCTACATTAGCTTATTTTCCATTCCTCCCTGTCACCCTTCCACAGAGGACAGGAGCTACGCACAGATACTTCACACACACAAATTTTAAGAGCCTGAACATTTTAAGATACATGTCTAGAATAGACCACAAAGGACTAAATATAGCAGGTAACCCAGAACACTATTAACACTATTACAAAATATTCATTTACTTAACTTCTTTATTTGCAGAAAATGCTCCATTCTGGAAATACTTTCTCCTTAGATTAAAAAGTATCTAGCATCAAGGTTAGATAAATGGTTCTTATTTGCCAATTACCCATGTATTTGGGTTTTTTTTTGTTTGCTTTTTTTTTGTCTTTTTGAGACAGGGTCTCTCACTATGCAGTTCAGGCTGGCCTTCAGCTCACTTGTAGCCCAGACTGGTCTTGAACTCTCAGTGATCCTCCTGCCTCAGCCTCCCAAGTGCTGGGATTACAGGCGTGTGCCACCACACCTGGCGTATTTGGGTTTTCTTACTGGATGCTTTCACTTGTCATCGTGACAGCTAAATACTGGTAGATTCAGTGCCTTAGACAAAGGGTTTCCTGAACACAGGACTTTCAGTACTAAAGTTGAAATAGTACCAAAGAAACTGGGCCACCAACTACCGCAAACTCAAATGCCTTCAAGAGCAGAGCAACGGTGACTAACATCTGTGAGTGGACAGTGGAATTGCAAAGCACACGCGCCACTCGAAAAGGCAATGTGGAATGAGGATTCAATTCAGCTCATCTCAAACCTATGCTAAGTTAGTATTCCAGCAACTTGTCTGTTATTCAGTATGAAGTATCACGTGCTTTACTGCCTTAATGTGTTGGGTATCTGGGAAACCTAAGCAGTTCTGAACAGATTATAGCACACGTAATTCTCCATGAAGAACAGACCATCCGTAAACCTCAGTTCTATAGGCAGCAAAGATTCAGTGTGACTATGCTCAAATATTGTTCTACCGATTCCTGTCAGTTTATGCCCTCTAAGTATTACCCATGCCAAGAAACAGGACAACGAACCTGTCACCAGGTTCTTCACTGGCCATCCTCCGAACTTACATCCAATTCTTAACTGTGATCACACAATGGAGTAATGGGTCCTTGCGGCACAAGCTTTTGCCTCTGAGTATCAGATACTTACACTCTCCATCTCTCTGGCCAGTTCAAACAAAAGCGCCAAGGATTCACCAGCAGCTATTCTCATGTTTACATCATCACAAGAAAGCAGGCTTGGAAGTTTATGGAAATGCCTAGAAAACAGTCAGTCATTAGCATGTGAATGTGACCAGTTATGCCAACCAAACATGTTCATAAAGTATCAAAATAAAAAACGCATACATCTCCAGCCTTTTCTTCACTTCACTGATTGGGCATATGGTCAGCAATAACGTCCATGAGAGCAGCGAGCTGATATGGAGCACTGTGGAAGGGGCACCGCAAATACCATTGGCGTCTTTGTCTTTGAGATAGGACTTGGTGAAAATATTTTCCAAGCAGTCCAGAGTTGAATACAGCTCCTAACAGAAAAGAATACACAGTAAGACAATCCCCTTCAATTAGAAATAACTGCACATAACCACAGTTATTTAATTTAATAACTGCATATAACCACATCAAAGTTTTCTACTTACAGTAATGTCATCTGTGGCAATAAAAGAGCAAACACCAAAGCAAGTTGCACACTAAAAAAAAAAAATAAAACATATTAATGGTGGTAATTTTTTTTTTTAATTCTACATCTGTTCTTATAATTCGAAGAAAATTTTCTTCACTACTTGACTATATTAGTTTCTAGCACCCTATAAGGAAAGGAGAAAAGAAAGAATACTGGTCAAGAGCTAAAGGAAGTGGGTTTTCAGCCCAGTCTCCACTACCTAACTCCCAATACCCCTTGAGGAAAATGCCTCTGTCCCTCTTGGGTCTTTTTTTATTAACTCATAAAATTGGAGGAGACAGTGTGTGCACATGAACGTTACAATTTCTAAATGCATTCCAGCCCCACAGCCTATTATTTAAATTATTATTTTTCTTATTCTCCATTTAGTGAAGCACTTTTAATATCACCTCATTGTTTCCTTCTTACATGTAGCACCAATGCCTAGATCATTTTAAATCTCAACTCTTAACTCAAAAATGGACATAAAAGCTCCAACGTTTACAATAAAGAAGCTTACTCCCCCTATTAAAAACTCTACATTAAGATGGCTACTGGTTTCCAAGGTTTTAAAACACTTCTATGAGGTGGGTCTGAGGGCTCACACCTGTAACTCCAGCACTATGGAGGGTGAAGGAGCAGGCCTACAAGTCTGAGTCCAGCCTAGGAAACCTGGCAACTTTGCAAGCTTCGCTCTCAAAAAAAGGGTGGGGGGGCCTAGGACTATAGCTCAGGGCAAAGGACCTGGGTCTGATCCCCAGTCTGCCAAAAGCCAAAAAACTAAACACTAAAAAGGTGTTACATTTGTTGGTTTTTATGAAGACTTCACTATGAAAACTCCAAACAGCTTCCAAGAAATAAGCACACAAGCACGAAGCTCACAAAAATTAAGTAACTACCAAACTACAAAGTGTCGATTAGAGAATGAGTGCTTTTTCAAATCTCGAAAGGAGAAACACGTCAGAGGCCGGAGTTTCAGAGACGCACAGGGCAACCCAAATTCAGCGTTTTTGTAAGGACACATGTAGGACACAGCAGCCAAGAAAAAGAAAACAACTGCATTTTACCTACGGATAAAAAAAAGCTTAATAACACTAAGTTCAACATTGTCTAGACCCCCTTTCTTTAAATTCCAATCAAACTATTGTATAATCATCCCGAACAACATGACCATCAATTTCAAAGACGTGGAAGTTTACTCTATATAGGATGCTCTTTGGAGTAAGAAAATTGAAGAAAACAACTGTCATATTACGTCTTTTTCCTAAACTAAAGGGCAAATACAAAAAGTAGTAACAAAAACCTATTTACGCCTGCGTATATCATGCCTGGATAGATGCTACACTTAAAAACCTTATACTTACAGTTTGCCTGGCCTGGATGCTAGCTGCTCCATCACAGATTATTTTCTTTAGGATGGGCCCCAGAGTTCTTAGAATCTCTTCACTTTCAATGCCGGGGCCCAGCTGAACACAGAGAACGGAGGCCAACGCTGCGGCTGCACGCTGCTCATCGCTCTTCCCTGTGAAGGCAGCCAAGACGCCACGGTGGCGGACTGTCAGGACACCACTGCTTCGAGACGGTCACTCCCCAGTTCTTTCAATTACAAAACAGCACCTGCCCTTTACGAAACCCTTACTGTGCTCCAGGCTTGGACGTCAGTAGAAACTTAGCAATCAAATCCTAGATCTGCCATGAACTAGCCAACAACTACCACCTACTCTTAATCTCTAAGCAGGTTCACTCTTCTATAAAATGGAGATTAATTAATCTTCCTCTTAAGGGAGGCCTGTACTGGTTCAACAAAATGTGTTTCACGTTGCTTTCTGCTTTCCAGCTCTTAAAGACACTCAGAATGGGTGTTCAAGTAGCCCATGAATTACTCTCCTAAGCACTTCAGATGTACACAGGTCTATCAAATAACTGTTCTGGGTTTCCTTCTGAAACTTTAATAAAATCACGCATTGAAAATAAGAGAATCTTTAAAACCACAGAAAATATATTCACATAAAGGTAAATTTTTTTGACAATTGTATGCACTGAGGGGTTTGGGGAAACACTAAACCTAAACTACCTGATAAATTAAAACTACGTAAGTAAGCACACTGGAATGCAGTTTTTTAAGTCATCTAGTCCAACTATCATTATGGGCGTCAGTTTCAGTCTGTAAAAAGCCATTGTTATCTCGAAACAGTTGGCTCTGCTGTCAACTGTACCACTAAGAAGTTACACAAGTGTGGAGCCAACTCACTGTCTCTAGATCTTTCCTTATTCTATAAAATTATAGTGGATCTCATCAAAGGTTTCATTCATGACAGCTTTCACCCCAAGGCAAGATGAGAAAAATACAGACATACGGAAGTTCATTCACATTGAAGAAACTGGGCTCCCTATTTTTCTGGTGCTGGATTTTTTTACTAACGTGGTAATTACAGAAAGCAATTATGTTTATAATGTCCTTACTTGACAAAATAAGTAAACTGGTACATGTGAATCTTTTTAATAACTGGTGCTTCCTAACCCTGAAGTCTGCTGACACTAGACTTCCTCTTGAAGGTGTCTCTTTATTTTTCAAAGGTGTATCATCACGACATGAATTCCAGAATCCCTACCACAAAGTTTTAGGATTCAAATATTTCAAGGGTTATCCTGAAAATGATATCATTTACACGTACAGATGCTTTAAGTGCATGCAAAGGAAAAAGGAACTACATGATTCAAGTTTAGAAAATGAAGTACAGTGGCTTTTGAAATTATACATTATGCTGACAACTGACACTGTCAAACCTTTCTTGAATAACAAGGCTAGCAGTCACCTCTTCTGATCCAAAAAGGAGTCCAACACCAATCCTTCCTAATTTCAATGTTACTGCATAAACAAAGTTTCTAACAAATCTCACTCTGAGTTCTGTTAATCATATTATACCACCAGTCTTAAGAGCGAGCTAGTATTCCAGTATAATTAACAACCATTACCGCAAAGATAGCAAAGTCTGTATTAGTTCTGTGCCAGTAACTCAAAAATAACAGTGTTACCTTTTTTCAGGCAGCGTTCAACACTATCAGTTAATGTCATTCTTCTTTCCAGAATAAATTCATAGAGCAGTTTGGAAGCCAGTGCATTTTTAATGCCTTCAAGAGCTGCCTGCCTTGTCTTCGCACTATTTAAGGTAATAAGAGAAAGATCTAGGTGGGAGTATGCCATAAGCAGTGACTTCAAAACAGCTTACTTCTATCTGTACATCTTCTCATCCAATTGTCACCAAGGTCTAAGTATTTTTCAATAATATAATATTCATCTACAATTTACCTAACACACAAAAGATTTTTAAACCCCTTTAGAGCTACCATTTTTCTGTTTAGTAGTTTAACAGCCATGACTAAGGATTGTATGGTTTCAATGCACAAGACTCCTATATTATGTAAGTAAATTTATATTTTTAGCATTACAAAAAAGTCTAGAATTCATGTTTGAACCTTCTGAGCTTTTAAAAACATTCCATTTATTTATTTAATTCAATTCTAGAGCTACTGTATGAGGAACACAGTATTTTTCATGTCCGTAACAAAATTAATGTTCAAGCAACTTAAAACAAAGTTCAGCTGTCATTTCCAGTTGAACATTAACTTTCAATTCAGCACAGCTATTTCAATTACAATCAAATATACTTATAATATGCTATGATGCTGGAACAATGACTAATTCAAACCTAAACATTACGCACATCTTACCAACCACATCAAAAGACCAAAGGAACGAGAAACACATCACCCAAAGTAAACAAATCAAGCTTAGAAAAACACTGCTCTTTCAGAGAACTACACAAATTATACATGTAAGGTGGCTGATTAGAATCACCTAGAACAGAGAAGGTTTTGTTTCTTGTAGTACTGGGGGTTGAACCCAGGGCTTTCTCACTTCGCTATATATATCCCAGACCTTTTCTTCATTTTTCATTCTGAGACATGCATGGTCTCAGTAAGTCGCCCAGGAGGTGCTTGAACTTGTCCTGCCTCACCCTCCCACAGTTACCAGAAATTACCAGTATGTCCCACGACAACCGATCAGAAGGCAGAGATTTTAAATATATTTCCTACCTCTTGTCCAAGGTTAGGTCAATTAATCCCTTCAATTTGTACTCTAAATCTTCTTGAGTTCCTTCCTCATCAAGGACCTCTGGTCCTATAAACAAATATTAGAAAGTAAGGAAAAAAGATACCAAACCTATGGCACGTGTGCCACGCTGGGCACACAGAGGCCTCTCCATCAGCACTCAGCCAAGTCGCCCCAGCAGCCACGCCTCAGATATTCAGGTTGAACGGAAGTGTTGGCACTTTGCAACAAATAAGTGCAGTTTGGGCACTCAGTCTCTAAAAGGTTCGCCATCACTGCCTTAGGTCTGTATGAGACATCCCCCACGCAGAACATTTTTTATGTAAAGCTGCAAGTTCGAATTTAAAACATACCATCTTCAGCAAAGCTGGAAGGATCGCTGTAACCACTGCAATGGCTCATCGTTTCAATTGATGCATCTTCATCACTAAAGGGTTGAATATTTCGATGCTGGCCACCTGCAGGTTAATTAAAAGGGGAAGCAGCAGACGATTTTGTTGCTATCTATAGAAATGTTTGAGAGTTTTTAGTTTAAAACTCAAACTTACTTTTTAGAAAGGTGATGATATCCCAAAAGCACATACTTAAATATCCCTAAAGGCAATTCACCTAATCTAATCTATATTTCAGAGCACTAATTGCAATATAAATCAACTTTAGAAATATATAAATTGTAATAAGATTGATGATACAAAACACAATAGAATGAAAAAATTACTTCCAAACTGTAATTGTGAATCATAAAGCACAATGAAATACATTGAGAAAGAGAGTATTATGTCATAGATCACAGTAAGAAGAAGACACATCAATATGTCTTCTCAAGGTCACGACAGCTTAGTATTAACTGGTGCCTATGTTTGCAGGTAGATGTCTGAGGTCACAGAAAACTAAAGACATACATATGTCTATGTTAAGGAAGGGTAGTTTTAAAAATAACTAAATTTTAGCTTAAAATGAAAGTCTTGGTTATTCGCTATGTTAAAAAAGCCTAAATAAATAACCTTTAAAAGAAAGGTTCCAGCATACCTAAGAATGTAAAAATATCAATTAAAGCTTACATAACTGTATTTTTAAAAAGTCCTCTTTTGAAACTACAATATCTTTATTTTATTAACTTAAGGAATACATTCATAGTAACTTCTCCATTTTTTATTAGTAGAAAGACTACCCAGTCATGAGTTACACTGAGTTACTGAGTTAAAATGAGTCCCATATTCTTCCTCAAAATGACCTTGAATTAACTGATTTACCCCTGAGCCCAATTTCTGGCATCAATAAACTCAAAAGGTTTCTCCAACTATCACTAGTTCTCTGGGTTCAAAGTCCTATTATTTACTACCTGACTGCTTAAGTCCTCCAAGTTTAAGCCTGTTACAGTTGGGTTACAGCAGTCTTCTTTAAAATAGGGAGTTGTCTTTTTTTTAAAATCAAAGCAGAATTTAGAAGATTTTTTTAAATTAACAAAGAAAGCAAGTGCCCTTCAAATTTGCTTGTTTCCTGCCAAAGCAGCAAAAGTAGTAAAACATGCAATGAGGCTAAGATCCTAAAATGCCTTAATCACAATGTTTAGGGTAGAAACAAACAAAGACCTGTGACATCATATCTATTTCTGAGTCTGTTTTCATGACTAGACATCACGGCAAGTCGAGCGTCATATGATTAATATTATCACATTTACTCACAAGGCAATTTACATTTTTTTTCATATTCAGCCTATTACTAATAGTATTCCTGTGCAGCTGTTATTCACTTCCTTCTCTTAAGTAATCAGTCTCAATGATTTCTTTCCACGATTCAAGAGAAAGAGTTTAAAAAAAAAGAAAAGCAGAGACCTTGCAGGAATGCCAGCTAAGTCACACCTTTGATCCTAAGTAACCCCAATGAGGTGGCACTAAAGGCATATAAAGTCCTTTTGTGCTAGAGGGCTTACTTACTATCCAGATTGTTTCATAAAACTGCTCTCTTCAAATTACAGCAGGTGCTATGACAGGAATGCATGCTTGTATAAAAGGGTACTTTTCTTAAGCTTCCTAGAACTCTCCACTAACTTAAAAGAACAGTCTAAATAGGAAGCTCATTAAAGTGATAAAGTTGGTTATTTCTTTGGTTATGGAGACGTCATTTAAAAACCATTCTTTTACATGTCATTAAAAAATATCAACAAGGTATGTGGTTTTTAAGTAAATGTGATAAATTTCCATCTCTTCTACTCAACTATCATTATTTATTGAATAAGCAAAACGTTCATGTAAGGCCAAGATAAAGTTACCAAAAAGTTCAATAACATCTCTGTAACTTTTTCCTTCAGCCCATTTGCAAGAGGTAACCAGAGTTCACAAGTTATTATGTAAGCTTCCAAAATTATTCAAAGCATGTACAGTTGTGTCAACTAATCAAATACATAATTACTTTCCATTTGCATATACATGTTAAAATGAGTGAAGTGCTCCTATATGCTGAAATGCGGTGTTAAATGTCTCTTTTCCATCAAAAATAATTTAAAAGGCACCAATGAAAAGGCTGATGATAGGTCATAAATAGGTTTTGATATGAAATTTCAAGGTCAGTTTTTCCACCACCAGAGGCCTGTACAATGAGAACTACACAGAAGGAGGCTCACCAGAAAGCTTCAAGCGGGAATGACCATTTGTGATTTAGACACCACTATTCATATTTCTATTTTCAAAACCATTACCTAGCTGCTTCTCCATTATTTCCATTTACCAACAAAAAGTAAACTCAAGAATAAAGTCAATATGGCTTTTCTAGACCGAATCCAACTATTTCTGATAAGGAAAAGCTCAAACACAGCTGGAGACGTATCCTCATCTGGCCCAGTGCAACCAGAAGTCATAAACGAGATTTCACACCTTGAGAAGAATGGAAAACATTCAATCAAAATAAAGAGCCATGTAAAGAAAAAGAAGAACGATATTAGTAATTGCTCCTATTATCAATTATTAAATGTTTAATACAGGAGCACAAGTTTTGGGTGCTGTAAATCCTGTAGGAGTGTTTTTCAAATGCCTCTTTGTAACCATCCTTAACATGATACAGTAACTGGTATGTTTACTTTTCTAATGAACAGTGGGCTAAGAGTGAATTAGAGTGGCAGCTGGGTAGACAATCACCTAATCTCTAATACTAACCTGATGTGATGTCTGTGGATGGTCCAACACTCAACTCCACAGTCTTAAAACACTAAATGAGATGACTGCACCCAGTTTAATACTACTCGACGTGCGTTTAGTGTGGAGTTTCTGTGTGTGGGTTGTCCTCTGATTGGAGTCGTTTTCTTCTTAACTTTATGGTTGCTAAGTACAAGTCCATATTCGGTTAAGCACCCACCCATCCAGGAAAAAGCTTTTTCCTACTTTGCTGTGCCCTAAACTCACAGCCAATTGCATTTGCGCTCCTCACCACGCCTGCCTACCCTGCAGACCTACAGAAGGCAGCACAAAGACACCACGCCTTTGGCCCAGTCTCCTGGACAAGGGGGCAATGGGGCTGGGGGTTCGAGGCTGGCACAGGTGCCTCGTGTGTTGGGGGGGATGGCCGGTGCACAGGGTGGGGCGGTGGCCCCCGCCTGCAACGCCACCGCCCGGGGGCCCGACCAGGTGGACAAGCGGGTCGTGCAAGCAGACGGCGGGACGGACGCCGCTCCCGCGTCCCTGCGCCAACCCAGTCCTTTGGTGCACAGCCAGGGCCGCGAGAAGCCAGAGCCGGCCGGAAGCGGCCGGACGTCTTGGCACTCCACGAACTCCATAATGGAGCCGGGTGCTACAGGCGACGGATGACAGCCAGGACGCCACCCGAGCTCGGCCCCACCCTGCGTCAGACAGCGAGCTTGGGACAGCCGGCGGCAGCCTCCGGGCACAGCTCCTTTCCCGCCCAGCTCCAGGGCACCCGGATCCGGACACTGCCAAACCCCCAACCCATTCGTCCCCGCCCGGCGGCCGGCGCCCCAGCCCGGTGCGCCTGCCAGACCCGACTTGCGCGACGGCGGGCGCCGGGCACGCCGGGAATTGTAGTCCAGAGCCGCGCCACGCGACCTCGAAGCGCACGCGTCCGGGGGCAAGCGAACTACAGCTCCCGTCGAGCCCCCGAAGGAGCCCGGCCGGCAACCCGGCGCCGGCGGCGGGATGCCCTTACCTGCTGTCGCCGCCGTCGCCGCGGCTGCCCCTGAGCCGCCGCCGCCACCACTGCCACCGCGGTGGGGAGCGTTCCGCTTCTTATTCTTCGGCATCGTGGGACGCCCGGTGCCGCCTAAACTGGGAGCTCAGTGAAGATCAGCCGATGGAGCTGCACTTTCTACTCGTGCGTCTGTGCGTCGGGCGGCTGAGAGGCGAGTCTTCGGCTAACAACAGAGGCGAGAAGCGACGGGGGTACGAGTGGGCAGCGGCGGCAGCAGAAATCCCCGTGAAGAGCTGTGATCGGAAACGATACATGTTTCTCTCTAGCGCGGGAGCTAAGGCGGGGCGGGGGAGACTGCGACGCCTTAAGTAGCCAGACAGCTGCCTGACGTCACCAATGAAGGGCGAGGCTAGAGTGTTCGATAGCCAATCGCTGAAGATCTCCCCACTAGCGTCCACTAGGGCAACACCTGGACCCTGACTCCCAATCCCATGCCGCAAATCTGCACTCTGCGCCCGGGCCGCAGTCTTCGGGAGAGCACTGGATCTTGGGAAATGTAGTAGGCCCGGGGGTGGGGTCGGCCCGCCCCTGCCCGTTCCCCCAACGGCCTTTCTGCCCACTCACTTCAAGAGTCGTGACCCCGCCCCTGCCGGGCGCCGCGCCCGGCGCTGAGCCACGCGGCGGGAACGCCGAGGAGGGAGCCGGCTCCAACCCGGCGGCGCAGGCCCCGCAGGCCCTCTCCCCAGCGGATCTGCCTTGCCCTCTCCCCGCCTCTGCCGAGCACGGCCGTACCCCTCTTTGGGAACTTGCCATGACTGCCGCTGTGGGGTCCGTGTAGCGATCGTCGGTACCCATCGCGGCTCTGTAGCCCACAGTGCCCCCAAAAAGTGTGCTTTCCTCTACTTCGGCTGTGTCGCTTGTGTCGCGCCCCACCTCTACACCAGAGAACACCCAGCACATCTGGAATTCAGTGGCTCAGATTTCTACCCAAGGACGCGTCCTTGACAACCCCACCTGGGATAAGAGTTTCTGAGAACTTGACAGGTGGCTGAACGAACTGGGACTATAAATATCAGTAATTGCAGCGGGTTTTGTTTTGTTTCTCGGGTACTTCTGGATCTCCTGGTCTTCCTTGTTCCATTTGTCCTCTATTTTGGGCTTGTAATTAGGTCCACGTTCTACGCTTATGACGGGCCAAGCTCACTGACTCACCCCAGTGTAGGTGACTCAGTCTCTGCCCCACCTCTCACCTGAGCTCCCCGTTTCCACCTGACTGTCACTCTTGCCCTCGACCTAACATCTGTAAACAAGTACAGCAAGGACAGAGCTTCCCTCTTCCCGTGTTCCCCGTGCTAGTGTCCTCCCTCCCGTGTGTTCACATCCAACGCTCAGGTTCACACGTGGCTGCTCTTTCTCGAGTGTCCCCCCGAAAGCTGAAATTCACAGCCCGTTCACCAGTCACACATGACCTCCGTCTATCTGCCCATGTTTCCTGCCCAGCGGTACTGCAAGATTCACTCTTGTATCCTCTTTTTATTACCCCCTGCTTTAATGTTTGCTACGAGAATACCGTGGTTCCCAGGTACTGCTACATTAAATGCCAACTCCATTGGCTTGCCCTTGACCCCCTTCTGGTCTCTTCTTCCACTCTTTGCCGTTAGGCCTTATTCTTCAGCTGACGGGAGCTGCAGTTCGGTTCCAGCCCACAGCGCTGCTCTCCCACTGCCATTTCATCGAGCATGGTTTCATGTTCTTGTGAGGCCTGTCCCTACATCTTCACCCTACGAAACTGTGTCCATCTTTTCAGACCTAGCTCAAATGCTGCGCCTTCTTGAAGCCTCCAGCCAGAGTCTTTTCTTTCTCCTAACTCTTCCAGTGTTATTCATAAAATAACACTTAAAACACCGCACAGCCCTACCATTTCTCGGTTGCTTTTACTTTGTTTAAGCCTGAAGCAGCAAATAAATTGCTCAGAGCCACAAACAACAGGCAAGGATGGGGGTTGGCAGACAGGGCTCCCACTGATTGCCTTGTGTCTGGTGCAGGCCCATCTGAAATTCAGTGGTGTTGGCATAGGTTTTAGAGGAGCATAGAACCGTAAACTCCTTATCTTTTATAACCCCGGGCTTTTTACCGTGCAAAATCAACATATGACAGCGCTAAGGCAATCATGTTGCTACTTTCTCAGTCCCATCACCGAAGCCTAATGTCTGGCTTCTAATCCTTAGAATTTGTCCTTTGCCAGCATTTGGGGAAGGTGCTTTATTTCTGCATGCTTACACGTCCACTCAGAGGCTGTTCTTGGGCAGGACTGTTCAGAGCCTACCTCATCATGTACGTGGTGGTTTTACACTTGTGAACACATCTGTCATATCATGAAATTGCTAGCTTCCGCCAAACAAAAATCTTTCTTTCCTTAGCTCTGTATTCCTCAGAACCTAAAGAACTTATGTATTTAATTATAGTCAGTGTATGGTTAAAGAACAGTTTACAAAATAATTATTTTACAGAACAGTTCATTTTTTTTGAGCCAAAGTAAAACAAAAGCTATCATTACATATCTGGAGTATGAATTTCAGTATAATGGATTCTGAGACATACCTTTGATACAATCACCTTATCATAGTTTTACATCTCTAGTTTACCAGATCAGTACAAGTATCAAAAACTTAGCCATTTGCCTCATGTAATGATGGTGGTTTTCCACTAAATATATTGTTTTGGACCATGTTTAAAGGAATTACAAGACTTCAAACATTGAGTCAACAAATAATTACAAATGCAGGAAGAAAGAGGAAGCACAACAGGGAACAGGACAAAGCTTTGTCCAAGGCAGGCTTTGCCTTCTGTTCAGGGAAGCACATCCTCCCAGGTGCCTCTGCCTCCGTCTCCGCGGCTACAATCAAATCCTGTGATGATCCCTGGCTGCAGGGCAGGCTAGAAGGCAGGTGTATGTAGTTGGACTTGTTGGCAATCAAATCTAAGGTTCTGTTTCTTAAGAATGAAGGGGAAATTATGGATATAAGGAAGACAACTAGCAATGTCTGCCTGTGAAACAGAGGAACGTTTCTATGCTGTCCTTTAAAAATGGCATATTTGTTACCATCTTGACACCCTATGCTACCTCTTACCATTCAGTATCCTGTAAGATGTATTTCCTCCTCTAAAACACAACTTAGTTAAATATTCCATCGAACAGATCTCACCATCATCGTAAGTACATGAAAATTTTGTAAAGTGCTACATTAATCAGAATTTGGGGGCACCCTTCAGCTGTCGTGAGGCTTTCATTCAAGAGCAAATGGCACATACATATTCAAACCTTCCTTAGAGGCATGAACATAAAAGCTTTCCTTTGAATGTCTTCAGCCAGGACCACCTTGCGTTTCTATACATAGCATTAAGCAGAATTAAATCTCTCCCCAGTCCTCCATATAGGAATTGTCAGAATCTGGTTCTTGCTTATAACTCCCAAATTACTTCTCTTCGCTTAACACAGCCTCCCCTGCCATATCTGACTCCCAGCAGGTCTCGGGGCTCCCTGGCTCTCGTTTCTGGGCCTCATACAGGCTTGGCACCTGCCCATTTCCCATCTGTCCTTCCATCCCTCTTCTCACTGCTGCGCCTCAGCCTCACCAGTCAGTCTTCCTGGCCAACGCAAAAGCACAAAGTTCATTCCCTGCTTAAGATTTTCACAGTAGCTGCTCTCTCTGCCTGATGTGATTAGCATGAGCTTCCCACAGTTGCCATTCAGATCCCAACTTAAATGACACCTCCCCGAGAGGCCTCCTACTCTCCATCCTAAATAGCAGCCTCACGCCCGCACCACCACCACCTCGCCTCTGCTCTTCTCGCGAAGCAGGCTCACTACCTCCGACTCTTCTAGTTCCATGATTATCATCTCTCTCCTCGATGAGAATATTAGAATTATTAGAAAAGAGATCCTGTTTACTTTATTCACTACTTTATCTTCAGCACTGGAACAGTAGATAGCACTTAGTGGATGTCTTAGTTACTTTTCTGGTTGCTGAGACAAAATACCTCACCCCCAAGGTTAAAGGAGGAAAGGTTTATTTAACTCCCAGTTTGTGGGAGTTTTCACTCCATCATCAGCTGGCTCCAAGGCAGGTGGCGCATGGCAGAGGGGCAACAGTTCATGGTGGTGGAAGGCAGCAAAAGCAATAAGGGAGAGAGAGCAAAAGAGGGGAGGCAAGACTCTCTCTGTCCCTTTTCATTTTATTGGATAGGCCAGTGCCAATCCAATCAGTGGGCTGATCCAGCAATCAGCCACCCTGAATCCCAACACCCTTAATCCTAGCATTGCTCCATGAATCAGTCACAAGCTCTAGATTCAGCTACCACCCAAAATACCCCATCGAAAAGTACATGAGGCTTTGGAGGACATCTAGACACAAATCATATAACAGTAGACATTGAATTAATATGACTAAAGAAGTAGACAAGTAATTAAACATCACTCCTTCCTTGAACATCCTTCCCCAAAATCTCTTTCCTCATCCTTAAATCACAGAACCTGAGCCACCCGAATTACCTGATTCAAACATCTCTTGTCCATGTCCTATAATGTCTTCTCTAGAATGGCATTATATGTGCTGCAATTTTTGATTCCTTATCCATTTCCCTATCAAATACAAGCTCAGATAAGCAAAATCCAAGTTGCCTATTTCCGAAACACATGCTAGGTCTTTGCCATCACACACAGCACCTTTGCGTGAGTTAGAAAAAAGAGGACACCTGGCCACCAGGCTGGGATTCAGCCCTCGCTCTCCCTGTGCCAAGGAGGCACACACAGTATCTCTGTGTCTGAATGAGTGAAGGAATGAATTTCTTCTGTATTGACCAGTTTTCTTGAGAGCAAAGAACCTGTGGTGGGGAAAGCATGCTAGTGAGACTGACACTTGTCAGCAGTTCACGCTGTCATTGTGGTCCGGTCTCTTCACACACCTCATGTAACTCTCACAGGAACCCAAAGAGGGTAAATCTTAACCATTTTGTGGATAAAGAAACCGGTTCAGAGAGGTTTTGCAACTTCCCTGAGGTCAGACCATTGGTAAACAGTGAGTCAGTGATTAAAACCCAGGGCCATCTGATACCAAGGTTGTCGTTGGCCCACTTTCTACAGTGCAAGCTACTGCTTATTCCCAGGAGCCCCAGGTCTCTATGCAGTCCTGCTAGAAAAGGGCCATGTGGGAAAAATCTTAACTTGTTCTCCTGTCTTTTAGTGTCCTTGAACCACTAGTGTCAATATGCATGGGATGTTCAGTTGTTGACTGCCAGATGACGACTGGACAGATTTCAATTTTTTGGATATCTCTCAGCTTATAGAAGAATATATCAAATAGTAATGTTATTCAGTCAAACTATTTTTTCAAAATGATCACCACCTATTAAGTTTCAGGTTGCACTGTTTTCTTAACAGGTTTGCCATTTTTGTTTTAATACCAAGAATGGTGATAACACACTATGCTAAATCCGAGAGCCCTGTTAGGTTAAGAAAGGACATCATGGCAGATTTTGTTAGAATTCATTAAGACTTGAAGTATATTTTAGTTGCCTTTTTTCTTTCTGTTGTGAAGGAGACTTGTGGGGGTGTGGTTTTCAGTTTTGAAATCGCATGTACTTTCTCTAGCAAAATTTCTAGCAAGAATAATATTCAATTGTCTTTGAAAACAAGGAAGTTGTTTATTTCACCAAGCTGCAGCAATATCAATAATACAATCTCAGGCTGTGTTAGAATAGTATTGTGCACCCTAAGTTCCACAATAACTAGAGCAAGACTGTCGTTCTATTCAGGTGTCAGGTCCCAAGAACGAGGTGCCCGCAGATGAAAAGAAAAATTAAGAGAAACAAGAAAAACAAGAGAGACAAAGTTCTGGGACCAGGGGGCTTACAGCCTCTTGGACTGCAGCCCCGATTACCAATCTCAGTCACCTTTTATTGAGCAAGAACCAAGGGCGTAGCTAGTACAAATGGGCAGATACCAAACATTTTAGCAAGGATAATTAAAGGATTATCCTTCTCCACACATAATCCAACACATGCCTGTAATCCCACCACTCAAGAGGCTCAGACAGGAGGATCATATACTCAAGGCTGATCCCAGCTGTATAATGAAGCCTTATCTTAAGAAACTCTAACAAATAATAAATCATTGTGTCCTCAATGCATTCTAATCAAAGAATGTCCTTCTCCACACAAGACAATGTTGTTTATACCATGCCGAAAAAGCTTTCCATAGTAACAGTACACACATGGAATTATCTTTGAAGATAAAGAAGGCCATTGGCCCTTTTCATTTGTCACGTCAAACAATCAAAACCAAAGTGTTCCGTACTGGCCTCTCTACCTAACTCCGTACAACCAGCTCTCTTCCCAGTTTTCTCTATGCAGTAACATCAGTCTTCTGGCCAAACAACTAGAGAATCTTAACTTTGAAAAACACTTGAGAGGTGATCTATTTAAACTCCTGTTTCATCTAGGAACGCTTCTGACAACAGGAGCTCTTCATAGGTCTCTAACTCAGTCTTCCAGGTTCAAATCTGGATATACAGTTTACATTGGGGTCCTGAGCAAACCTTTGACCACTCCACATCTTGGTTTCAATAAGAATAATGATCCATGTAGT